TAAGCTAAATAAACCTTCCTCCTTTAACTTTGTGAGTCAGGTATTTTGTCCCAGCAACATGAAAAAGTAACTAAGACAGTATATAAGCCTTCTTTTACGGCATTGCTACTCAAGAAAGTTAGTTCTGCTAAATAATAGCAGCAGCATGGTACTCCCTCCAAAAAAAACTGGTATGATGAATGAAACAAGGTGCTACAGAATTAACTGTGCCCTCCTAATCTGACAGGTTGAAATCTAACCTCCTAGTTGGATGTTATTTGGAGACGGGACCTTTCAAAGAAAATTAGGGTTAATGAAGGTCATGAGGGTGAGACCTTCATAAGGTATTAATACCCTTATAAAAGATGTAAAAGTCCTGAATCTCAACCCCTCCCCATCCCCTTCCTCAATGTAAGAAGGCAGCTATCTGTAATCCACAAAGTAAGGCTTAATTCTAAGCACACTGGCACCCTGATCTCACACATCTAGCCTCTAGAACTGTGAGAATTAAATCTCTGTTGTTCACTGAGAGTCCATCTCACTACAAAAGAATGGCTATCTTCAAGAAATCAAATAATAACAAATGCTGCAGAAGCTTCAGGGAAAAAGGAACACTTCTTTATTGTTGGTGGGAATATAAACTACTACAAACACTATGGGAATCAGTATAGAGATTCCTCAAAACACTAAAACTAGAGAGCCAGGGATTTAGCTCAGTGGTGCTGCTGCCTGCCTCACGAGCATAAGGTTCCAAAACGAACAAACAAAAAAACCACTAAAACTAGAAATTGCAAAACAAACAAACAAACCACTAAAACTAGAAATTGCATTTGACCCAGCTATTTCCCTTCTAGGTGTCTTCCCAGAAGAGTTAAAGACATCACAATACAGTGATACATGTTTATAGCAGCAAAATTCATAACAGCTAAATCTTGGAAGCAGGCTGTGTGTCTGTCAACAGATGAATGGATAAAGAAAGTGTGGTATTTATACACAATGAAGTACTACTCTGCCATAAAGAAGGATAAATTTGAGTCATTTGTAGGGAAGTGAATGCACCTAGAGACATAATGTAAAGCGAAGTAAATCAGACACACAAACTTAAATAACACATGGTTTCTCTTATATGAGAAACCCGATGTACAGTACGTAATGAGAAAAATGACAATGAAAAACAAGAGGGAGAAAAGTACTGTAATCCAGCATGGCCAGTATGTCTGAATGTGTGCCTTGATTTATTATAATCATTTTATGTGTATTATATATTTTTGGTCTGCTAATCTATTTATCTGTGTTTATGGTAATTAAACTGATAAAGCCTTATAAATAAATAAATAAATCTGACACTGCCAAAAATCCATAAATAAATTTCCATGGTTTCAGTCACCCAGTCTAAGGTATTTAGTCATGGAAACTGAGACACCAGACACTTGTTCAAGAAAAGTCTTGGCAACCTACAATGTGGGAAAAAAAATTTTATCAACTGTTCCTTGGACAAAGGTCTACTATCTAGAATATATAAAGAATTTTAAAAAATCAGGCCCCCCAAATATAAAGGCCCAATTCAAAAATGACCATCTGAAATAGACATTTCTCAGACAAAAAAGTAAAAGCAGCAAATAAACATAAGAAAAAACATAAGAAAAAAATATTCCACAGCACTGGTCATTCGATAGGTGCAGATGAAAACAACACTGAGATTCCACCTCACCCCAGAAAGAATGGCTGCTGTCATGAAATCAACCAATAACAAATGCTGGTGAGGTTGTGGAGAGAAAGGAAACCTTCTCCATTGTCGTTGGGAGTGCAGACTGGTGCAATCACTGTGGAAATCAATACGGAGATAACTCAGAAAACTAGGATCAGAGGTCCCGTTTGACCCAGCTATTCCTCTGCTGGGTATCTTCCCAAAAGAATGAAAAGAATCATACCACAGTGATATATGTGCACCCATGTTTATAGTGGCAGTTTGTAATAGCTAAATCATGGAAACAGCCCAGTTCCCCATGGGCTGAAGACTGGATAAAGATATGGGTGTTTTTTTTTTTAATAAAATAAGAGTACTACTCAGCCACAAAAAATCAGGAGCTAGAGACATTTATGACTAAATGGATGCACATTAAGGCCATACTCTTGGGCTGGGGATTTAGCTCAGTGGTTCCACCACCTGCCTCATAAGTGCAAGGTCCCAAGTTCGAGTCCCAGGCGCGCGCACGCGTGCATACACACACACACACACACACACACACACACACACACGGGCCATACTTTTGGTACTATACGCACAAAGTTTGAGAAACCCTGTTTTGGGGACCTAGTTCAAGCCCCAATAAAAACCACCTGAACATGTCACTCCCAGAAAGAAGTCAATGCTATGCTCCAAATCAAAGTGCTACAGTCTTGGAAAATGAAATCGACCATCTACAATGAAGTGATAACGAAATGGGCTTTGCCTGCTGCCTTTGTAACTGGATTCCACCTTTGAGAACAGAGGTCCTGTGTCAGGACAGAAATAAATTGGCAGAAGACAAGCTGTACTCCAACAGCCATTCTTCACAACAGCTAAAACTACCTCAGCCTGCCCCACCCTGAAATTATGCATTCATACATGAAAGAGAACTAACATTAACAGGAACTTGAAAGAAGCAAAAACCACCACGAAGTTAAACCGCCTTACTTCCTGACACATTTAAGTCGACTCATGCAAATTTTCAGCTCTTGTGGTACAGGACCTTCAGACCCTCCTTTTCCTCCCCAGTTGTTTTTGTCCGATTCCCCAGCACCACTGTGACACAGTTTAGAGGATCCAGGAAAAACAGCATATATGTTCTCTTGGGCCCCCTCTTTTTCCCAAGTAGCTATACTAGTCTAGAACTAAGTAAAGTTGTACTTGGTACTTTTTTTCTCATAGTACTGGGGACTGAATCCAAGGCCTTTGCACTGAGCTATATCCTCTGCTCCCCCCCACCCCCTCCTTGAGACAGTAAATAACTAACTTTCCCACAGAGGGCCAGAACTTGAGATCCTCCTACCTCCGCCTTCCAGAGTGCTGGGGTTACAGTACCAAAGTACTTCCACAGAAAATGCACCCTTTCAGCTAACAGTTACTAACACCTTATTGCGTGACAAATGGTTAAGATTATCAGCTTTACTTTCAGCCAACCCCTAAAGAATACTGAGATCTGGCCCTCAGTCTCCCCATTTTGGGTGCCAGCCTTGTTGGGAAGAGGTCCACAATGTTACATTCCACCTCTCAAAGGCCCACAGTGGTTGCTCAGTGAGGACAAGACCGTATCCAATAGCTTTACCAGCCAAAGCGCCTTAGTGCCAGGCTGGGAACATCACAGGCAGAAACAAAGACTTACTGTGCTAAGAGGCATCTATTATACTTCAAGAGTAATTTCAAAGGCATGCTGGGGTAGAAATTTGGTCATGGAAAGTCAAAAGCTGACTCTGAAGTGAAGTGAAAACAGCAGAGAGAAACAATTCTTCCACAAGCCTGGCTACAAAAAGGACAGAAACAGGCACGTGGGGCTAGTTTCAAGGGATGGGTTTTTGTTTTTCACGTGAGAAAGACTCAAGTTTTTAAGGGGAGAATGAACAAGCGTGTGATCCTCTTGCTAATGCCCTTCCTGGATTGTTAGTTTAATCCATCTCCTTTTTCCTTGAACACCAACTACATATGAGACACTGGTATTCACGCCAAGAACACTTAGGTGAACAAACCTAATCTCAAGGAGACTGCGCCACCCCACCAAGTCTTAAACAAACTCCCTCAATATCTTCAAGGAAGGAAGCGCCCCCAAGACCCTTGCAGTTGGCCAGGGCTCGTTCACACCCTGCCTGTGAACACGCCATGCAGCCTAGCATGGGGTCTACCAGTCTAATGCCTCCTATAGACTGCATCTTCTGCTGGGACAAGGACCTTGGCGCCACATCCCCAGAGCCTGGCAGAGGAGAGGAAGACTAAATGCAGTGAATGGGTCAACTGCACACAGGGAAGATGAGGTTTGTTTTTAAGCTCAAAACACTGTTTAGGTGCTAGGCATCTTGTTCACAGTCACAGAGCAGAACAGGTCTGGGTCAAGCTGGGAAAAGGGCCCTGATCTCTTGATGATGATTCTAGTACTGAGTCACAAGCACCACAGGGGTGACTGAACGAGATCTATCCATGTTTAGAAATAAGAAACGAGCTGGGAACATACTTGTAGTCCCAGACACTTGGGAGGCTGAAGCAGGAGGACTGCTTGAGCCTGGACATTCAAGGCCAGCCTGGACAACACAGTAAGACTGTCTCCTGAGAAACAAAATTAAATGCGATCTACTTTGGGGATTTTTAATCAATGAAATGTAAGGAGCTGTTGGTCCCTAAAATGTTTATGGGGTCTTCTGTTTTAGAAACAAGACACTGTTTTTGAACTGCTCTTCCATTTTAGAAACCCCCATCCTGAGGCCACACAGACACAAACTTGCTCCACAGGATGCACCCAGAAAGGAGTCTTTCCTTCCTATTTATTCTGACAACTCTGGGAGTGGATGACGCCTCACAGTTCCGTCCTTCTCAGAGTCAGGGTGCAGAACAAGCAATTTCCTGTCAATTTTTCCCATTGCTTGGCAACACTGCCTGAGGCCATGAGGCTCAGCCGAGCTCACACTGCCCCCTGCTGCCTGCTTGCTCCCCAAAAAGGATTTCACCTCTTCCCCCACCTTTTGCTCCTCCTATTCCTGTGAAAGAAAGAAAGCAACAGAATGCCCCACAAAAGTCAAATGTCTTTATTTTATATATAAAAAAAATTTGTACAGTTTTGGTTTCTATGTTTAAGAAAAAAAATTCCTAAAATTGCCATTATGTTTAGATCCACTGCAAACTGTAAAAACAAGCTTTTTATATATTAAAAAAAATTTACATTTTACAATTTTCTACATGCATGCACAAGGTCTCAGCTCTGTAACCAAAAAAAGAAGATAGAGGAGAAAGAGGAGGAGGAGAAGAGGAAGGAGAAGAGGGAGGAGGAGAAGAAGGAGAAGGAGAAGAAGGAGAAGGAGAAGGAGGAGAAACAAAAGAAAAGAAAAGCGAAAACAAAACAAAATAAACTCTAGATCCAACTGTGGAAAATTCTACACTTACAGTCTCACTTGGAAGGGACTCAAAAAGCCCCTTTTGCACGCAGAACAAATCACAACACTCACACACCAGGTCTGAATTCATCAGCAGATACTGCCTGTAAGGAGGGCAGAGGAAAGAGAAGACAGACTGACACCATGAAGGGACAAAGGAGCTCATCTGGGCCCAGAATGGAGGGGAGCACAAACCCCAGGAAATGGATGTTTCCAATGAGAAAGCTTCAGGGATCCCAGCATCCACTCGCCATGGGTATTGTGCTTGGGGTTTGCAAAGGGAGTACCAAAGTGTGCTCAGGAAGCAAAAACTCAAGGGATGAAGCAGAGCGGGATGGGAAGGAGTCAGAGACCAAAGGGATATAAACCAGAATAAACAGGGAGCACAAAAGGTGGCTCAGGAGACAGACAGGGAGCAATGGGAACAGGGGCAGAGTGGCGAGGTAGGTGAAGGACTGAGGCACCATGTGGTGGTGTGGAGGGAAGGGGCAAGCATTCCAAGGCCTGGGGATGAGCTAGGTGCCGTGTAGTCATAGAAACAAGAGAGCTTGGGGGGCAGCACGGCATCCCCTGCGGTGGGGGCTGCCAGTGGTGGGCACACCCTTGCAGCCAGAGCAGGAGGAAACCCAGAGTGGTGGGACAGGCCTGGTGGGCAAACAGCTCAGAGGGCCTGAGTCAGCTGCCCGTCCCCAGCAGTTCACAGCACGAAGACAACTTCGCACACACACACACACACACACACACACACACACACGCACGCACGCACAGCCATACACTGGACAATTCATCCTGACGTTTTAAAAAATAATAATAATAATAATAACCAGAGAAGACAAAGATACCACAGTTCTGACGCAAAGGATCAAAACGCTACCATTCTCAGTCACAGCCCTTAGTGCTTAGGAGAGATTTGGGGGAAACATTTCTTTTGTTTTAGGAAAAAGGAATGAAAAAATCACAGTGATTAAAAACATGGCAGGTTCTTAAAATAAACACTCCCCTGCCCCTAAATCTAGGGCAACAACTAAGACCCCCAAATCCTTTCCTTCTGCCCACCCCGACCCATTCCTCAAACCAAATGCCCCATTCTTGCCCACCAAGGCGAAGACCCCAATCACCACCCAGGCCCTGTTCTCCAGGATAGTGAGGTACACATGGACCCAGAAGGGACTCCTCTGAAACCAGAGTCTTAGAGAAAAGACCAGGACCCCCACTGGACTTTCCCAGGACCCCCAGGGCAGGATGCATTTCACCCCGCCTATCCAAGGACCCCCCCACCAGCCCTAGCCCAAGGCTAATTCCATCCCAGTTCTGCCTCAATTAGCCCTGCAATCCATCCTGTGGGAACAAGGTGAGCTCAGGCTGAGGAACCCCTCACCCATCTCTAGTGAGCAGTGGAGGGTCAGAGGTGCCCTTTCAGAAAGGGCAGTAGAAAAACCATAATCAGTAGGCTCCATCAACCCTTCAGGGAGGAAGCAGCTTCCCAGGGCTGAGATCAAAGGGCAGCTTATCCCAGAGCGTGCTTTGCAAGACAAGTACCAGTACATTTTTTAAGGAAAAGAAGGACTCATCCAGGGCCACTGGGAGCCATCTGGAGACCTGATTCAGGCACAGGCTCCACCCTAGTACCTGGACAATCCTCCGTGTGGACCTGGGAAGGGTGCACACAGCTGTTTCCTATTTGTGTTGCCCTTGGCAAAAAAACTACATAATTTAAAGATGTCTCATTTAAAAGGCTCAAATTTACTCTGAAAAGAAATATTAGAAGGCTGGTGAATTTTGCTCAGAATGAGATCTAGACTATTAAGAATTTGGACTTGGTGCAAAAGCCACCGAAGTAAAATGGGGTGAGGGCCTGAGTGCCCACAGAAGGCAATAATCTTGGTGCCTGACCCCAGGATAGAACCCAGAGAACTAGGAAGAAAGAGAAGAGGAGGAGACCCTGGAAGGCCAAGGAAAAGAGACCCCTGAGGCAAAGAACTGGACTTAAGGCCGGGGACAGGAGGAGCTGTCTCCTCCTCCACAGAGATGAGGCAACAGGTCTCTGGAGCCGAGAGGAGTCAGCAAGCCTGGGGTGGCTGGTGCAGGAAGGAAAATCGGCTGTCAGGGTCTGCGCACCACTAAGTCTACACAGGAGTCTACATCCCATCCCTCACTGGGAAGACTGGGAACAAAGGCAAGGCCAGGGCAAGTTCTGAGGGCAGAGGTCAACGACAAGGGTCTCTCCCAACTCAGGGATGTGTCCCCTTCCCTTCAGGAGCTGTCCAGGAAAGACCCTCTGGACCTTCCCCAGGGCCCTGGTGAAGTGGTCAGAGGCTTCCCACCTCCATTTGCTGGGATCTTGTGTGACCATAAAATCAGGAACGGCACACGGAAACTTCTAGGTAAAGGATGGGATCTTTCCTTGCTCTAACAAGTGTGGCTGGGGGAGAGAAGCTGGAAGCAATAGTGCCGCAAGGAGATTCCTAACTCCGGGGGCTACGTGGCAGGAGCATCTCTGCCCAGAACTTAGAGTCTGTTACGGGTGGGACAGGGTAGCGGCTTCCTTGGCAGAATTTGGCATCAGGGTTCTCTGGGGTCTCATCACTGCTCCCAAAGAAACCCTGTTAGGGACCACTGGAGAGAATGCTACCAGAACCTGGGTTGTGGGTGGCGCTCAGGAGGGACAAGTATAGTCAAGAGGGCCCCAGGCCCTTTCAGAAAGGGCTGTCGTCTGGGGAAACTGCAGGGAAGAGCAGAGAGAGAGAGGCACTGATTCTTGCAGGGCCCAGGTGATACAAAAATGGGGGGGTCCCCAGCAGAAAGGTCTCTCCAGGTTCACATGGGGTAAAATGAGGAAGAGGGAGGAGACAGGGTGAGGAGGAGGTTAATTCAAGTAAAAAATAAGAGCAAGAGGAAGAAGGGCACTGGGAGCTTGGCTGGGCCTGAGAACCAGGCCCCTCCCACCTCACGTGAGCCCAGAGTCTCCCACTCCCCTGCTGTTGCACGGTCACACCGAGGTCTCCGACTGCAGCCTCATGACAAACTTGTGTGACTTGGGATCCACAAATTCCTCGGAGAGTTTGAAGAATGGCACCTTCTTGGTGCTAACCACCAGGCTGAAGTCCTGGCGTTTTAGGAGGAAAACGATGCCATCCTTAAGCCCATTGGTCACCGGCTCCTCGCTCACCAGTGTCCACTGTTTAGCCAGCCAGCGTTCCTTGTGGTACTGGATGGTGGGTCCAGCTGCCAGGTACCGCTCCAGAAAGGCCTGAAAAGGGGAGAAGGGGCTGCCTGGATACTGTCACCCACTACTGTCATCCCCTGGGCCCAGCTTCCAAGGACATGTCCCCCAGGCTCACTCTGGGATATGAACCAGTATCTTAAGACTGTCAGAGCAGAAACCGCTCTAGAGCTAGGAAGATGGTGCCCACAGAGACCATGTGGCTCCAGAGTCAAGACTGGAACTCAGCTCCCTGGACAAGCTCTTCTTCAATCTTCCTTCCTTCACTCCCACACAGCTTATATACTTAGTGCCAAGCAGGTGTGAGCTGGGAGGGGAAAACATCTCTAGTTACCTGTTCACTGAGGACAGTTCAGCAAAAGCCCTTCTAGGAACCTGGCATTTCAGTTGAGGGCTGGGCCATGGTTAAAAGTGTGCACAGGTCAAAGAGCACCTGGCAGAGGTAAAGGGTGCCAAGTGGGGAAAGGTGAGACTCCAGATTTGGAAACTCCAAAGTCCTTATGAAGCTGAGAAATAGGTCTCAGCTACCCCCAAACAGTTTCTGAGTGCTCTCCTCCCTTATCCCATCCACCACCCATAACTTCACTCCATGCACACAGGGAAGAAATGAGGAGAGGCTATGAGGAGGAGACAGAGATGCGAGAGAAGGAGGGAGAGTGCAGAGAGAAGACGTCAAGGGAAGGTGAAGCGAGGGAGGAAGGATGCGGGAGCACCAGGCCTACCTTGGGCGTCATGTCATGTGTGATGCAGAATTCAAGGTGCTGCAAGATGCTCTCCATGGTGTGGTAAGGCTGCTGCTTGGTGGTCCGCAGGTACTTCTGCATGGCACGGGCCATGGATGCAAAGATGGCCTGGGCTGCCTCCCGGGGGTCCATCACCTCCCTAGGGTTCTTCTGCTCCTCTTCTTGCAGCCGCTTAATGTGAGTGAAGGCCTCCTCCACAGCCACCACGAGCCTGGAGGACAGACGGGATCTGGACCAGGTGCCCATCTCTCATCTACCCCGCTACACCAGCTCTGACAGCCGCACCCTGGGCAGGGTCAGAACTCCGTGCTCTCCCTGATGCCCATCTTGCACCTCATGAGAGGAAGGCCAAGGTATAGGAGGCATCCTGCGTCCTTCTCATAAGGGTCATTTGTGAGACAACTGGGCTCATGCTGGAATGTCACAGAAATGGGGTTGGTGATCTTCATTCTAAGCCGGGGACCACATGCTTCTGTAAGAAGCGGGGAAGGGCTGCCCGTGCCAAGGCTCCTGGCTCTTTCTCCCTGCAGCAGCAGGTATCAAGACAGCTTCCAGGCAGGATGGGAGCTCGCATCATAATGTGAACAGGGACAAGAGGAGTAAGTATAGCATTTAAGAATATACCAAAGTACAGATGCAAGAACTTCGTTTTTTTTCTTTTCTTCAGACAAAAAAAAAAAAAGCTCCATCTGCTGATCAAGGCTTCAAAATTCCCTGGTAAAAAGCCTAGTTCAGCCTCAGTCCCTGCTCCTGCCAGCAGGCCCACATCCACTTACAAGTCCCTAGGGCACCATAGCGGGCAGAATTCAAGAAGCCCCCACCTCTACCAGACCCCACTTCCCTCGTGTTTCAATAATCACAGTACAGCTTATAGACATCATTCAAGTGCCAAATTCACTGATTTTAAAATAAGAAAATCATTCTATTGGAGCTAATCTAATGACACAAGCTCTTTCTGTTGCTCATTTGGTTTTTTCTTGAGACAGAGGCTCACTATGTAGTTTAAGCTGGCCTTGAACTCACTATGTAACCCAGGCTGACCTCAAATTCTCTGTGATCCTCCTGCCTCATCCCCAAGTGCTGGAATTACAGGCATTCACCACCACTGCTGCCTCTCACATGAGCTCTTTCAAAGCAGTCTTCTCTGGAGGTGGCAGATGTCAGAGAGACTGCTTCTGCTGGAAAAAGTCACTCTGGAAACCGCATGTGGGAAGCATGAGAAGGAAGTGAGTCTGCCAAAAGCCAGTGAGCTAGGATAAGCAGCCCTGGCTCAGGTGAGAGCTGTCTTATTTCTGCCCCGTGAGGCCTAACTAAGCAGATGGCTCTGCAAGCCTGAGTCTGACCCAAGGCATGGGAGATGAGAAATGGTCAGTGCTCTGTAGCTGCTAAGTTCACAGTAACCGGCTACGGCGGCACTAGAAATGAATACGCACACCCCAGTGTCATCATCACTGTTCTCCTTCCAGTAGTTCCAGAGTCCCTTGCGCTTCCTATACCACCCCGCATCCTGCTTCTCTTCTCCCCCAGGGACATACCTGGCCCTGCGCTTGCGCACCCTGCGCTCATGCTCAGCTTCCTCATAGTAATACTCATTGTGGCTGTTGTCCCGCCGCCGGGCCGCCGCTGCAATCACAGCCCGAGACTGGCCCGTGGAGTTGTTGGTGCTGTTTTCTGCATAGGATCAGGACAGAGGGGATGGTCACATCAGAGTGTGGCTCTGAGCTCTGGAGACAGAACCTGACATGTCCAGAAGGAAACTGTCCCACCACCCGGCAATACCTCCCATTCCCAGCCCTCCTGGCCACCTCTGGGAGAGGCTGCAGGAAAGCAACCAGGAAGGCATTGGAAAGGCAGGGGTCCTGCACACGTTCCTCCCAGGTTCAGGAGGTTCTCAGCCCAGAGAGCCAAAGAGCTTAGACCAGGGCTGAAGAGCAGACACAGAGGAGCCAGATCAGGGACACACCATAGCTTAAAGGGACAGTAGGGCAAGTAGAACCAGCAGCTAAGACCAGCCACCTGAAGTAAAGGGGAACGACAGAACAGAGGGGGCTAGGGCATGGGCCAGAGAAAGGAAAAGCAAGGGAAGAAGGGTGAGAAAGAGAAATCAAGGCACTTGGATCCTGCTCGGGAAGAGGCTGGGAGGGGTGGAGGAGCAGGGCCGCTCACCCTCTCCGAGAGAGTACACCTTGAAGCCAGACACTTTCTTGGCCAGCACGGACTTGGGCAGGTTGAGGAGGGCAGGGTTGTAGACAGGGAAGTCATGGTAATACTTCTCCAGGATCCACACTGCCACGCGCTGGATGCTGTGGGGGAGACGGCAGGAGGGGGAGGGAGAAGGGACAGACAAGGGGCGCGAGGGAAGGGGCACATCAGGGCAGGTTGGCAGGGCAGGAGAGGACACATGACAGGGACAAGCTGCTTCCAGGAAGCCTGGCTCAAGCCTGATGTCTACTTAGCAGGCTCTCAACCTTTCCCGGACTGGGCCTGCTATTCCTTCCCTGCCATGCTGAAGCCCAGGGAAAGTGGGCAGTGGGCCTGGGTCCCCAACCAAAGGTCCCCTCATCATCATCCTTCCAAGATTCGTGACAAGACCAACAAGCTGTCACCAACATTGGATGGCCAGGGGGTGTTGGGAGATCTTGTTCACAAGCACAGTAGGAGTTGATATCCTTCCACCTCGGCTCATTATCTCTTAATCTCTCTCCTTTCCTCTGGCCAGTTCAGCTCAGTGACCATTCACTGAGTGCTCACCAAAAGCTATGCTTCCAAGAAAGGGACAGAACAGGCCCTGTTCATGCGCATACATCTCTCCTCTTTGGTCCTTCCTCCTCTAAGATCCCTGGTCTCTGTCTGTTGATGCCCACGGGCATCTTGTCCCATAGCACTAGAAATCGACCGTCCCATTAAGCAGCAAACGTCGCTGAAAACCTACTAAGTGCAGGGTACTTAACTCCTGCCAGGCCCCACCATCCCCCCCTCCCGTGTCTCCAGGATGCACATCCGGGAACTGTACCTGAGATGGCCGACGTTGTAGAAGCGGCTGGCCCCGTCCGTGGAGCGCACAACCTTGAGCGTGAACTGCGGCTGGAGCTGGCGCAGTTCCAGCAGGACCACGGCGAGGTAATGCACAAAGAGCAGGGCATCCACCAGCGACACGGCGAACTGCACGACACCCTGGTAGCTGCGCTCACGGGCATCCAGGATGCGCACACCGTAGAAGAGCCAGTAAGAGACGACGAGGAGGAAGACGAGCACCATGAGCAGGGCGCGCAGCACGAAGACTCGGGGCAGAGAAGCCTTGGGCCGGCGGAAGAACAGAGCCCAGCTGCCCAGCAGCAGGATGAGCAGCTTGAACGCCACAGAAATGAAGAGGCCCTCGCAGGCCGTCCCACAGGGCTCCAGCTCATCCCGCCACAGCAGTGGGGGCAGCAGCAGGAAAGCCAGCGGCGTGAGGAAAGAGAGCAGCGCCAGAGTGGCCCCTGCAGCCACGCCCAGGTGACGGGAGCAGTCCAGTGGGACACTGTCCTCCATGTCCTTGGCAATGCGCGTGAGGTCATCGTGTGAGATGCTGTGCTCTGAGGTGCCCGTGACTACCGTGGTTGTTTCCCCCCAGTTGTCGTCCTATGGGCCGGAGGGGCCGCACCGAGAGGAGGGAGAAGAAAGGGGGAGGGGCAGAGCGGGGCAGGGAGAAGACAGAGGAACACATGAGAAAGGAGAAGGCAGGAAGGAAAGAGCGATCGACTACCATTCAATGGTCAAAATATTTACTGAGCCCCACCGCGTCCCAGCCTGAGCCACAGCCCTGGAGGAGGAGCTGTCCGCCAGTCACTGAGCACTGAGTGAGGAAAACGAAAACACTGCACGCACGGCAAAGACCCTTGAGACAGAGGGCACAGGACAAGGAAGCTGCTCAGGCAGTGATATGAATCCCAGGACATACTCGCCGGGCAAAACAGGCAGGCTTCCAGGCATCGCAGGGACCTGAGCTGACCCCAGGCGGGAGGTGACACGAACAAGCTTGGCTGAATTAGTGGCTCCCAACCCCAGCTGCACACATTAGAGTCACCTAGGGAGTTGGAAAGGGTACCAATTACAGCAGAGCGAGATCTGCTTGTCAATCTTTTTAAAAAATATCTCCCCAGATGACTCTAATCTCATCCAAGATTGAGGATCTTTGAACTAAATGATCTCTGAGGGCTGGCTACTCAAAATGTGTTCTGTGGGCCGCAGAGTGGACAGCACCTGGGCACTTCTTAGACATGCAGACTGCAGACCCACCGCACACTTTAACAAGATCTTCGTGACTCACTCGAGCACTACAGTTCTAGAAGTACCGTCCTAAATTCCCTGCAGCTTCTGCAGCATTCTCTGATCTCAGCAGGAACTAGGCGGGGAGCAGTCGGGGTGGGGGTGCGTGAACTGAGGCTCCCAGGGGATGGTGAGAGCTGGGGTCTCAGGAGAAGGGGCAGAGTACAGCGGGACCAAGAAGGTGAGGCTGACAGCAGCCACGTGAAGCTTGTGCAGACCAAACTGCAACGCCAGGCTATGCAATAAGCACCCACCCTCCAGGCGGGGAGCACCCTCTGGTTTCTGATTAAAGGAGTGACCCCACAAACGGAGAAGAAACGAGGACACCAGCAGGGGAAAGGTGAGTGGATGGGGGAGGGTATCGGGGACACAGTGCAGACTCAGGGTCACAGTGGCTCTCTACAAAGCCAACTCTGGTGGGCCATCTGAATCCCCACAGCACAGGGGCCGACTGTTCCTGAAAGCGAGGCGTGGACGGGCTGAGGTGCCCAGATGCTCTTCGGAGTGGGGACTGCTCGAGCTGTTTCTCTGCAGTGTCTGGAGGGCATCCCCAGAGGAATCCCAAGACTACAGTGCCCACACCCTCCCTTCCTGGGCAGCATGAACGTACGAAGTTCTATCCTGACCCCAGGGGACAAGGACGGGAACACTGAGATGAAGAGTGCAGGACACAGCCTGGCAGGGCCAAGGATTAGGGAGGTTGAGGATGGGAGAAGAATCCAATCTGAGTATAGAAAATAGAAGTGCTGACCACTTCCATCCCAAGGAACGGGGTCTCCCCCTCACTAGATGACTCCCGGACCCACTGCCTACCCTCTCAGGGGTCAAGGCCTCAGGAACTCCTCCCCAACAACAGGTGAGCTGATCATGTCTCAGGGTCACATCAAGAACCCAAAAGGCCAGGTCACAGGGAAAGGGACTAGAAAAGGGAAAGAGAACAATTCTCTCAAGACCCAGGAATGCACAGTGGCAGTCAGAGACTTTTCCTGAGGAATAAGAAGATAAGAGTCTCCAGCTCCCTAAGATGGTCCCGAAAAGAAAGAAAGGAGAAATGAGACTTGGGCCAGCACAGTGCCATCTCAAATCTTGAGCCTGCCATATTCAAGGATTCACTACCAGAGGAGTACCATAGGCCACAGAGGTTAGGACAAAAGCAACCCGCTCACCCTGCCTGGGAGAACTCTCTTCCAGGGTGCCCCTCATTCCACACAGCCCACCTCCTCCCTCACCCTTTTCTTCCCTTCCACTGGTCCACACTGCCTTTCCCTAGGACCCTGCTGATGTTGTTCCGCACACTCATAGGCAAAGGTGTGCCTGCACCTGAAGGCTCAAGAACTCCCAGGCTGTCCACACTCCCAGGCCTCACCCACCAGCCACCAACACAACCCTCCTACTCTGCATCCCCAGCCACCCAGCCCCTGGAGATAAGGAAGGAGAGGCTGCTGCCTCCCAAGGAACCTTCACTGAGACCCTCCGAATTCCACAACAAAGCCCTACCTTGGGATGTTAAGCCAAAGGAAGTATAACCGGACACCCTACCTGATGTGCCTCTGTCCAAGGAGCCCAAGTGTGCATGCTCTTCCCCTCCCAGCCCTTTCAGACTGCGCCACTCTCCTTAAGGGCAGTCTGCAAATGGCCATCTGACCACCTCATCCCACTGATGCTCACCCGCTCATCTCCCCGTGTGGACTCATTATCCAGCAGGGGCTCTCCTGGTGCCTGGATTGTCACTGACTTGTCCCCACGGCTCCCATCTCGGCTCTTTGAGCGGTGTCGGTCCCGGCGGTCCCTTCAGCAACAAGCCAGAGGAACAACACACAGTCAAGGGGAGGATTGGGATCTTCTCAGCAGCTGGCACCCCACAACCCCAGCACCACCCCGGCCTCCCTCCACCACCTGTGTCACCCCGACCACCACATACACACCTGTGCTTGCGGGAGCTGCGGGAGTGTCCCGACTTGTAGGAATAGCCCGAGTACTGGGACTCGGTGTCCATGGCGTCTGAACGCCGTGCCTTGTAGCGCTCCAGGGCCGCAGGTTGGGGCCTCTTGGGGGGCCCCACAGCCACCTCCTTCAGCACCGGCTTCTTCAGGCCAAGAGGCACCTTCAGGAAGTCAACCGTCACCCTGAGGGACTCTATTTTGCTGGACGGGTGGGCTTGCCTCAGAGAAAATCAAGCGGCGATCCTAAGGAGAGGAAGCAGCTGGCTGGAGGAAGCTGCAGTTCCCAGTGGGTCGAGGAAGATCACCCCCCACGGCAGCCACAGGAGGCTTGGACGAGCAGCACCACTCCTGGGTATACCTCTTCCCTGGTTCCCGCTCAGTCTGGTGAACTCAGTCCCTCCCGCCCTGCCGGCCAGAAAGAGCTCCCAGGCACCATCGTACTCAGGGTTCAGGCATGGGAGCAGATGTCAGCAATGGCTCCCATGACAGACAGGCCAGTGCCATGGTCTAAAATGCCCCCAAGGGCAAGGGGAAGCAAAAACGATTAAGATGAGATACCTCTTCCCTGGTTCCCGCTCAGTCTGGTGAACTCAGTCCCTCCCGCCCTGCCGGCCAGAAAGAGCTCCCAGGCACCATCGTACTCAGGGTTCAGGCATGGGAGCAGATGTCAGCAATGGCTCCCATGACAGACAGGCCAGTGCCATGGTCTAAAATGCCCCCAAGGGCAAGGGGAAGCAAAAACGATTAAGATGAGAGAT